GCAGGGAAGGCACATGGAGTGCAGTACTCCTTGCCAGATGCTAGGAAGATAATGGATGCTCAGGAGAAGATGGGGAAGCAAGAGAAAGGTACCACTGCAGTAGCTTTTGCAGCAGCAGATATGAATTCTGTTACTAATTCATCTATTGATGTTTAAGTTGTATAAGATATGAAACTGGATCATTTTAAGTGACAAAATATAGTGAATACTTGAGCATGGTTGAAACCATAGCCACCCCACATCCTCAGAGCTTTCCTGTTGACCTGCATTGGAGCTCTGTACCTTTAAATGATAAGCCACCGTTCTATGTCTACCCTAGTTCACAGGAACCTCTTTCATGACCTCTATTTATGGCTGTTCTACGTACCACTCATAACCCGAGTCATACAATAATGGCTCCTTCGGGTCTGACTTGTTTCACTCAACACTGTCTTCCAGACATTAATATGTTCATTAAGGCTGTAGCATTTATATGAATTCTATTCTTTTCAAGGGAACAGTACTCCATTGTAAGTATAATTGTATATATATTTTGTCCTTTTCATATGTCAATGGACACCCAGGTTGCTTTTGCCTTTTAGCTGCTGTGAATAACACTGCTTTGGGCATAGGCCTATATATCTCTATGCAAATTCCCATTCAAACCTCTGGGCTAATAACACCTAAGAAATGAAGTTGCTGTATCATGTGGTATTTTCATACTTCATATTCTGGGAGGTCTCCATGCTATTTCCAGTAATTTTATTTTAAAGGTAGATTTATCAAGAGTTGCCAAGAAATTGATGTTAGGACTTCAAAAAGGAAACTCTAGAGTTCAAGATTTTCACTTTTAAAATGGGAGCACTATGGGGCCAGATCCTGGGCCAAGGAATTCTGGGATCATTTTGGTGCTGTGTTAATGAGGGTTATGGATAGACGGAAAGGCTCTGTTCAAAGAACTTTGTAGTTTTCGTGTTTCTTGAACAGATGACACCATCAGACAAGCAATTTTATGTACTTTCTATAATTCCAGGGTGAGGACCAGAAATGTGCTACATATGCATTATCATTTGGCATGTAAATACTATTTAAAATCATAAGCCTAAATGCAGTCATTTAGTGGAATGCAGTCCTGCATAGGCTTAGATCTTGATAGAGCCCAACATCTAGAGATTTGACCAAGTAGGTGCTAGCAAAGGAGACTGAGTAGGGATTTCTGTGGTGGAAGAAACCCAGTAAATGAGTTTTGTCTAAGCCATGAAAACAAAGTGTGTCATGAGAGAAGGGGTTATCTGTCCCTGCTACAGGACCAGGATATGAGTAGCTGTGCAATTGGATTTGGCACAGTGAGGGGAATAGAAGTGTCTGGCAAAAGTAATCTCAAGGACCCAAGGAAGAGATGGGAGTTAATTAGTGACCTGAGATAAAAGTAGAAGATGCCACTCCCAATTCCACCTGTCAGCATTCAACTCAGGAGTGTCGTCATTAAGGAACAAGTAAGATGTAGCAATGGGCGGAAGTGGCTTCTTCGAGATTCGGTGGTAACATAGTCTCATAGAGGAGGAGGAGTTGGGGTGGAGCGCAAGGACATTTACCAAGGGAATATATGAAAGGAGAGAGGACCGGACTCCAAATCCCACAGAAGAGATGGTGTACCATAGCCAACAAGAAATCAAAAGGTAGGTAGGTACACAAGGTTCTCTGATCTCTGCAAAGTGACGACATACGGTCATCTATTGAGAGGAAGCAAGAGGTGAGGGTGTGTGGGGTTTAGGGAATGATCAAAATGTGAAGAAGTGACCTCAGAGTAGGCAAGTGCCACAGCATTGCCTGGCACACTGACACTTAGTTGAATATGAACCCTTAATATTATTTCCAACCTGTTGTGTGGAGAGCATAGCTGCCCCCCCCTCTGTCTCTCTGTCTCTGTCTCTGTCTCTCTCTCTGTCTCTCTCTCTCTCTCTCTCTCTCAGAAGAACATTAATGCTGATTCTGCAGTGGCCAGACTCTCATATGTCCTCCAACAGCATTCAAGGGTCCTTTGCATCCTCAGCAGCATCCATTGCTGCTTGTTCTTGCATTCTTGATTTGCCTTCTGAATGTGGCTGGTCCTCAGAATGTCTGAGAGGTTCCTAAAAGCTCTGGATAGACACAGAGTCTGATAGCTTAGGTCTGAACTGTAGCAGAAAGTCTCCACTGCTCCAAGCTTCTGAGCGGAGTCTCGAACATACCCAGTACTGTTGACTACTATCTTAAACTACCTATAAGTGAAACAATCATCTTAGGAAAGTAGTTTCGCATTTTGATTTACATTAGGGACTGAAGTGTTTTTGAAGAAAGGAAATGGAGATTCAGAACTAGAAAACTCAACTGTTCTAACAGGAATTTTAATATAATTCTCCAAGTTTCTTTTCAGTTTCTTTCTTCTGGTACACGAATAAATGATTTTTATCATACTGCAATTTTCCTTGTACTGACTTAGAAGTTACCTCATTATAGTGTGAAAAAAACCCTGTGTAGTTAGATTATAAGCTTATGTAACTTATTACAATGCTTAAAACTTCACAGTTTTATTAGATTTCCTCATATTCTTTCGTTGATTTTGTGGCAAGCACCTCTACAATTTCATACTTTTCTGGTTTGGTTGCCTGTGTATCTTTCTCATCCTCCCCACCCCTGAGGGAACAAGGTCTCATTTATCTCCTCATTATCTGACTTACCTAAGTGGATAAATACTGCGAGGGGAAATAGAAGATTGAAGGAAGAAAGCATAATCAAACAACTATTCATCTCTCTGATTTCTCTGTATTACTCTCTGAATTTCAAGATAGATTCTGGGAAACCTAGTGGAGAAAAAAGATGAGAAAGTAAAAAAAAAATCAACCAAGATACTCAAGTATCTCATAGTAAATTCACAAAATGTGAAATCTGTGCTGATTCATCTCTGTCATGAGGCCCCATAAATACAGGCGAAGAGATATTGATATTGGCCTTGACATACTCAACTTTTTCCTGCCTGAACCTTTTGCTTTCCTGGAAAGCAGTGATGTCAACTAGATACAATTTGAAAATGACAGAAAGAGCCCTATGTCTGCTTTACCTACAGCTTCCTGGTACAGCGAGTTTCGGTGGTGTATAATAGCACTTGGACTGTACTGTTGTGTTGAAGGGAGGGCACTGGGTAATGTCCCATCGTCTGTCTCATGTGGCGGATCCATGGCTTCTCCCTAACTCTGCCCTTCTTTCTCCCAGCTTACAGCCTAGCTTTCCCCACCTCGTTCTGTTTTTCCCTGCCATATGCTCAAAGAAGTTCTTTATTTATTAATCAATAAAAGCAACACACAGAAGGACCTCCCACACCACTGTTGGAGCCATCTTCTCGTGTGCTAGATTTTCTCTGTGTCTCCTTTAGTGACCACCATGGACTCTGGCTCTATGTGCTGTCCACAAAATCATCCCGGCAACAAGCAGGTCAGGAGTCTAAGCATGAAGAAGAGTTGCACATAAGTGTACCACATATTACAGGGGCGTCAAAACCACATCAAAGCATTTGGTCCAGCACTGGAAAGTCATGGAAGGTTTTCTGCAGGAAGTGAAGGCTCTGATGTTCAGGTTGCATCCGCTGTGTCTCCGAGTGGTGGTGAGAGGGTCTGATTCAGGCCAAGGAGCAACAAGTGAGCAGGCAAGGGTTTGCAAGGACTATGTTAGAGGATCCTACGGGTGCACGTGGCTGGAACACAGAAGCAGATAATGCAATCGCTTCTACAGCATGTGTGAGTTTGGGCTTATTAATTCTTTAAACAAAGGGTTTGGAGACAGGTCTGTAATATTACAAGAGTGCTTCTCCACAGAATCCTGCAATTTGAAGTCCTGTTACATTACCTTTTTCGACAGTTGTGCCCTCTGGCATAGAAAGAATCCTGCCCCAGAGAAAGGTGATCCCTCTGTGGCTCCAAAATGAACTTACCAGCCTAAGGCAGGATTCACAAGTTCATGCCACCTGAATGCTGGATGTAGCATGTACTCGCTTCTGTTTATGAGTGATATTTTTTGTAAAGCTTATTAATTTGTTAAGGAAAGATAATGTCCAGTCTTTGTCTGTCAGAAGCTAAGGTCATTTTTTTTTTATTCTGAAAACATAAAAGCTACTTGACCATCCTGATAATGTGTTCCCAAACCTATTTTAGAATTTCTTTCCTAATGGCTTTTGTGACTCGAGGAAGAAGCGTTTTAGTGGTGCATTAGGGAAAGGTAGTTAAAATCTGAACATAGAGAGTTTGGGGTTGTTGTTAACTATAGTGCCAGTGTCTGACTGAGGAGAACTGTCCAGGGTAATCATTTCCTGAGGACATTGAAATCACCGTGGCCCTCAGTCTTCTCATGTGCCCTCACAGATCTCCTTTCCGTGGCAGACAGTGGGCCTTTTCTTCCCCTGACCATCTTTTCGATTTTGTTTTCATGTCTAATAACAAAGGTATACTTTAAAGGTATACAATATGGTGCAATGACAAATATATACATAATAAAATGAATGTTGCTGTCAAGCAATTGCCATTACCTTCTCATGCAATTACCTTTTCAGCTTTGGGTTGAGCGTGTCAGAAATTGACCAACTTAGCAAATATCTACACGATGTAATGTATAGTATTTATAATTATTATGCTATACACTAACTCATAGATGATTTGTCTCCTTGACTACTCTGAGCACAGTAATTAAGCCATTAAGGGCATTAAAGCCGTGTGTAACTGAGGTTTCACAGGAAGATACTGGCTAATGTCCCATAGATTCCTGTTGACTAATATTTTCATGCTATAGCAATTAAGACTCTTGGTGAATGAGACAAGCCCAGGTTCCTAATCAACACAGGTAATGTTAACTGTCTCAGATTCTGTGATAATGGGATGAAATGCTAGTACGGTGCTTTAACCTCAAGTAGGATCTATTGAGCATTTTTGCTTTCACCATAGGACTCTGTTTTATTATGAACAACTTTATCTTTTCCTTCTTTCCTCCCCTAGGGATATGAAACCTGACAATATTTTACTGGATGAACATGGTAAGTAAATGATTTGCTTGTAATCATCTTATATGACAGGTATCCACAACACATTGATCACCTTAGCTTGATTCATTGGACATTTGTGTGTGTGTGTGTGTATATATATATGTATATATATATACACATGTATAATATATCAATTTCATCTGTGTGTAGGAGAGACAAGATAGGGAAATTTATAGGTATGTAAAAATCCAATAATAGATTCTTAAATAACATTGAGATATAATAGAATGAGAAAGTCATTCTTTACTTCGTTTTCTTCCAGTACTATATCTCTTCGAGAAAACTCTCTGGTTGTTCTGGTACTAGCTTTTCTTAATATCCTTTGGTGTAAGACAGAGCTAATCTGAATGTTGAGCACTTGCCAGGTAACAGTACCCACCAAGTAACTGAGATGATTTTGTTAGTGTCTCCTTTCACAGTTTGCATCTCGTGAGAGCAAATTCCATCTGAACATAAGAGATAGCAAGTCTTGTGCTCAATTTTTTCAGTAAAGAAAAATAAATGATCTTAAAGAAAACTAAAGTAGTTAAAAAAGGTATTATTGGGCCCAGATATAAAACTGGTAATGGAAGATGGCGGTGGTCCTGATGGTGACAGTGGAGATCTAAAGTCTATGCATGCTGGCTAAATACAATATTTTGCCAACAGAATGAAATAAGCGTGTTTTTTCTGAACATGTTTTAAAATTTTTACTTTATGTGTATAAGTGTTTTTCCTGCATGTATGTCTGTGCACCATGTGTGTGCACTGACAACAGAAGCCAGAAGAAGGCATAGGACCCCCCAGAACTCTAGCTGATTGCCGTGAACCACCACGTGAGTGCTGCTAATCTAACCTGGCTCCTCTGGAAGAGCAGCCAGTGTTCTTAGCCACCGAGACAGCTCCTCAGCCCCCTTCTCAACAGTTTAAAAGACTTTCTGAAATCACGGATACTACATCAGGGAGTACTGTAGGGCACACAGCTTGCCTGGTGTACATGGGAGAGTGCTGCAGGTGGGCACTGTCAGTGATAAGCGTTCCCAGGTCCTTGGCATCTCATTAAGATAATTGAAAAAGTGCACACACAAATGGCAAAGCAGTTTCAGTTAAAGACATCAGAGGATACACTGCAGATAAGCAGTGGCCTGCAGCAGCCAGAGTGTCCAAGAGCCCCAGTTATGGTTTGAGGCTTGTTTGTTTTTGCTTGTTTGTTTTGGTTTTTTGAGACAGGGTTTTTCTGTAGCTGTGGAGCCTGTCATTGCACACTAGCTCTTGTAGACCAGGCTGGCCTTGAACTCACAGAGATCCGCCTGTCTCTGACCTGAGTGCTGGGAGAGGCTTCCTCTTTATGCAGTCCAAGAAAAAATGGTTGTTGCTAGGAAGAGAGTCTTTCTGTTTTGATTGATAGGACCAAGTGATAAAAGCTCCTGTATACTATGTATTTTCCCAAAATGCACCTGATTTTAATCATATGCATGCCCAAATTTGCACAAGTATAAGATAGTAAATAAAAGATTTTACCTCAAAGCTCACTCAGAGGACACAGTTAACTTAATGCACACGAGTCCAAAACCAGTTTGAAATAGAAAACACCCTGACCAAAAGCAACTTAGGGAAGAAAGAGTTTATTCAACTCACACTTCCACATTGCTGTTCACCACTGAAGGAAGTCAGGACAGTAACTCAAACAGGGTAGGGACCTGGAGGCAGAACCCAGGACTACCAGCCCAGAAATGTCACCACTTACAATGAACTAGACCTTCCTCCCCCACTGATCACTAACTGAGAAAATGCCTTACAGCTGGGTCTCATGGCAGTATTTCCTCAACTGAGGCTCCTTCCTCCCAGATGACTCTAGCTTGCATCAAGTGGGCTCACAAAACCATTCAGTACGATGGCTTATTTCTCTTTCTCCTTCATTCCTTACTATATCTTAAAACACGTTCAAATGGAGATGGGTATTGACCATCATACAGGAGCTATAAGAGCAGCTCACATTGTTTAAAGCAGGAGGTACATGCAGATAGATTCAGGTTAGGCGTCCTGTATTACCGGGTGTGTTAACAGGAAAGTGTGTGACTCAAGCCTTATAGAGTCCCAGGTCACTCCACTGCCCTTGCTTGATTTCACAGTGGCAGTTTCACCCTGGTTTCATATTGGAAATCTTCTACAAAGTGAACCTGAATCTGTGGAGGTCCTTAGTTATTCAACTTTGATAAGCAGGATTGGCAATTAGAACTGAAACTTCAAGTCCCATCCATTCCTTATTATTTATTTACCTACTTGAATTTAAACTTGATTTCCCCAGCCCCACCTAGGCCCTGAGAGCTAAGAAACACCTTTAAGCATAGCCCCTAATCTCAAAGCGCAGTTATTATTTATTTATGGGCTGTCTGAAGGGATTTTTCCCCCCACTTCCTTCCAATGTCTTATTTCTTTACCGTTTCAGCTTTTGACATTTTGGAACATATTTCTGAATCTCAGAGATGTGAGCAAATGCTGAGACAGCATGAAGGTGACCTTCATGAAAACACCAGCTCTCCCAGTCTTGTATGAGAGGCCTGGGCCTTCCGCGCCTGCTGTAAACACACTCTGAATCTTCAGCCCTAGAGAGAAGGGCAGTCTGCACAAACCACACTTTTGTTATTTAGAAAAAAAGCAACTCCGTACCACCAAGCTTTCTGGAAAATATAGTTGGTTAAGCAGAATAAGGTTTTGGTCTGCACCTTACGTTTTATGACAGACAGCTCCCCTTAGACAAGAATACCTGTCACCTCCTCATTTGTACGACTCCGAGGAGACATGTCAACCTTACCAATGGGAACATTTTTCACTCCGGTTTCAATCTCGGTTCTTAGAAGATGCTTGATCATGCTTTTAGAACACACGCACCCATCGTTCTTCATTTTACTTCCTCTTCATTGTCTTCCTCCTTTTCTCATTAATTTTTCTTGGAAATGTGATGATTATTGATTAGGAAGGAAATGAGTAAATCAATTAATTTTGAAGTGTAGCCCCATAGAGAACCTACTCTTGTGAAGGACTAATTTTAGTGTTGTTTATAGTACGAGTGACAGAGCTAGGTTGCTTTAAAACCCAGTTCACTACTCACTAGCTCTCAGAATTTGGTCAAGTTGCCCAAATGTTTCTGTGCCTTTGTTTCTCAGACAACAAGGACACTTACATCTTGGGATCATGATAAATATTGACACAACAGTGACAACATATGGTACAATGTCGACCATAAAAACAAGCAAACAGAAACTGCTTAAAACCAAAGGGGAGTGTGACTTCCATGATTCTGTAGAGGCTTTCACAGCTGGATGAAGACTATGTTGATGTTCTGTGTGGCTTTGTGTAGAGCAGTATGTATATAGATCTATCTATCGGTAGAGTCTATGAAAGTCAGGCGATTACTAGTCTTCCCCGAGAATTACTGTGTTTTTCCAGATGGGATGGTACTACAGATCCTTTTTCTTGTTGAATCCTGAGCTTAAACAAGGTCATTCAAGCTTAATCTTCAAGTAACTCTGCTTGTAATGGTCTATCCTGCCTTCTTTGATTTACACAGCTGTCTGAGGTCACTGTTTTTGGCATTTTCATTCTGTTTAAAGCTTTGTGGCTTGGGATGTGGGAGCAGTCTTCCCAGCCTTCCTGAGGGACAGGTACAGTGTCTCAGGTGATGGGAAACCTCTCATGCCCCTTTCACTCTCCAGACATTGATTTAAACAAGGAACAAAAACAACAGCCACAGTCACCATATTGTATTCCCATTCCGAACTCACCTTCAGAATTGTTGCTATTAATAAAGGAAGACTTCATGAGTGAAATAGAAGCAGACAAAGTGAAAAGTCTGGGATCTATTCTGGAAATCATATCCCAGGGCTCCCTTTCTAGAGAAGATAATTGTTTGATGTCATTTTCAGTTAGATTACAAAAAAAAATCTAGGACTTAAACACTATTCTGGAACTAAAATTAGTTGCTTTTAAGTGACTACATTCCCTCGCCTGTCTCCCCAAGCTTCTAATGTTCTTCTTATGAGAACCAGCCGAACCATAAACCAATGCTTGCCCTTTGGAGCAGCAGCTGCTCTGCTTTCCCATGTTCCTCTGGGAGCTGAAGGCTCACTGGTCTCTGCCACCTCATTTTCAGTATTTCACCCCTGGCATGGAGACGTTAGCAACTGTGAAGGGCAGCTGTGTGATTTCTTTTACATGCCTCCTGCTCTACCCAGCCTCCCAAATGAGTATTGTATCCATCCTATGACTTCTGTCTTCATTCACCTGTGCGCAGTAACAGAATGAAGCTTTGTTTTGTTCTAAGGATTCATATTGTTCATATTCCCCAGCGTGTATCAGTGTTCATGTGAGATCATATAAGATGGAGATTCTTTCCACAATTTGAATAAAGATCTCTCATGACTCAGCATTTGATGTAAAAAAATGGCTTTCATTTTGAGCACTCAAGTTTCTGCTCTCCCCAGATATCTCACTTATACTAATTCAGAGCCAATATGGCATCAGGTCTTAGATGAATCATAGCAAACCGTCCTGAAATGTATTTTCACATCCTGCCAGTTGAAGTGGCCAATCCAATTTTATCACTTTCATAGGGTCTAAAAAATTTGTGGTTTTCTTAAGTTAGTCAGAAAACAAATGTTGCATCCAGAGGAACAATAATGCCTGCCTGGCATCTCAAAGACTTTGGCAATTATAACATTATTTGTAGTTTAGCTTTTAATATCTGTAGTCACGAGAGAGGGAGGTAAAAGTTCATTCTTGAGAATGGGAAAGAACAGAGATTTCTATCTTATCATCTTCCTCCATGAAGAGCCCCAACACATGCTGAAAAACAATCAATGAAGCGTCCTATTGAAAATGTAAGACAATACCTGAGGCCCCAGGTAATGATGTCTTATCTACAGCTGGCAATAGTTGATATTACAGGAAACGGGTATCTTTTGCACATACTGTAAACACTTGCAAAATTTTAGCAGTTGTGGCTATTGCCAGCTGATGGGATATGGTACCCTAGAGAGAGGTGCTGATGAAAGGGGCCCCAGCCTGAGCGCAGTCACAGTGAGGAAGAGTATAGACAATGACGACAGTGGAAGCTGAACTCAACAGCCCTGTAGGATGAGTTGAGGTTATTAGCTATCCAAGGTGCAAACTTCCCCAGGAATCTAGATCAGGAAGCCCTTAGTCTTGTACAGGAGAATTTTACACCCAGCATTTTACAATGCCCAAGTCAGGGTCAGAGCAAAGACAATGCATCTAGTAGCTCTAAAGTCCCAAGGCTGAGAATGTTATTCCAGGAGTTGCTTGGAGCCCTGAGTTATGGAAGAAAGTATAAAATTGCCCCGTTCTTAAGAAAAGTCCTGATTTCTCCCATCTGCATCACAGAGAATCCCAACCCCCAACTCAGCCTTGGAAGTCACTCCCACATCACAGGAGAGAGCCTGACAGGGTAAACTCAGCATGGAAGCACCCGTGGGAACTGAGGCATAGCATTGCCTATGGTGCTGGGAGTTGTTATAACGCCGCTGGAGCTCCCATGAGTCCTCAAAATATTTCCTCTGCATCCTGGCAGAGGAAGATGTCTGAGTGAATCAAAAAACTACGTGTTTCAAGTTGCTTAGTCCTTTGGTTTTGTGACAGAACACATAGCATAGTGGGAGATTTGGAATCTGAACCAAAGTGTCAGAAGAGCAATGTCTAGATCCTAAACCAGTCTCTAGATCTTAACCTCAATTCCGCCATTTCTGGATCCTATGAACTTAGCTAAAACCAGTCACCTATACAACAGGGGGCACTTCCCTGGGACAGGCTGAGACAGCATTGTAAAAAGTGAAGGAATCATGCACAGATGTTAATAGATATTCGTCATTCATTCAGTCAAACTGAGCAGAGAGACAGTCAGTGCTGCCTGGGTTTGCCTTCTTTGGCCAGTATCCCCCATTCTTACTTTGTAGTCTTGTGAAACAGTCTCAGTATTCCACTGAGCCAGGTCTTCTTTCAAAACAATAATATCAAACTCTCTGTGACTTCAGTGTTACCTGAAGAGTTTGTTTAAATGCTAAGACATGGACCTTAGTGTTTCTGATCCAGAAAGTATAGAAAGGCTCAGAGTTCTGCAATTCCTACAAGTTCTTGAGTGACACTCATGCTTCTGGCCCAGAGAACAGGCTTCAGGAATTGGGTGTATTCAAAGCATTCTTTACACTCTACTTCAACATACGTGTAGGCAACCTTGTACTGATTATAGAAAACCTCAAGTTTTAGGGAAGGGTTTCATGCCTGACCACTCATGACCATTTTCTGGAGTTTCTCGTTTTCAATGCAGACGTCAGACTTTCCTGGCAGTCTAGCTGTAGTTGGAGGGAAGTGAGACACAGGCCCATGTGCTTTGCCAGTCTGTGCCTTAACTTCTGCTAATGATTGACAATAATTCTGGTGCCCTGACGGGTGCGGGGCTGGGTCTCCCATAGTCCCTGCTGTCTTTCATTTTCCCTTAACCTTACCTAGTAAGAAGACAGCAGTTAGAGAGCCCAGGTGACTTTTTCCAGGTGACATCTGGTTAGTGGTGGGGACTAGACTTAAAGTCACGCATCCCTGTTCTAGAGAACAGGCTTGTAATGGGAGATTTCAGGCCCACTTAATTTGTATCAATTTCCAAAGTTGTCCAATATTTGGAGCACGAACTATGGATTAAATAGAAGAAAAAAGAAACCGAGACCCAGAACTATGGTAGAGAGCTATTGACCTCATTCATTGATGTGATTTGGTAAAGAAAACTCACTTCCATTTGGATGAATGCTGCTGCTTCGACCTTATGAAAATGCCATGCAAACAAAAAGCAAGTACTTTCTGCACAAAACAGAACCATGTTGATGGAGAGAGTGAGGGTCTTCCTTGGTGATGGGCTAGACGTGGCCAGAAGCAGACTGTGGAGTTTGATGTGGGGAGTTTGAACTGAGGATCCTGGAAGGAGAATAAATTGGTACTCCCTCTGTAATCCCATCTCCATCAAAGCAGCAGGCACATGTAAATGGGAAGGCCAACACTTCCAGCTCCTAGGAAGGCAGATAACTGTTGTGCCAACAGATAACATACAAGTTTGGCTTAAGTTTACTGCCCTGCCCATTTCTTCCTTCTAGCTGTAAATGCCAGAACCCTGGAACATTATGTAGGGTATATTTCCTACCAAACTCAAGTGCTCCACACACATTTTATTGCTGTGTGTTACAGCCCAAAGAGACCTGTTTATTGCTGTGCTTCACAAATCAAAGGGTTCCAATGCATCATATAATCTACCACTATATTTTTAAGTGGAGAAATTTAGGCTCAATGTAGGAAAAGAAAAGGTCTGTTAGGGACAGAGATCTGGACACAGACTATGTCTCCTGGCCCCCCAATTTCTTTAAATAAAATTCTGAATTTTGCCTGTTGTCCTTTGATAGAATTTACTTTGTTAGAGTTCACTGGAGGCAACCTGCCCTGTCTGCTTCCCCCATACAAATGGGGTCTTAGAAAAACAAGGAGAACAGCAACAACAAAATGTGTATCCATATCTGTGCCAGGAAATAGTAATTTCCCCATAAGAGATTATGGGGATTGTGATGCTTTCAGAGGCCCTGGCTGTCGCCTATATGGTATATACAGGATAAGCAATCTAGACTGCTGCCAGCAGACAATAATGCCCAGAAGAGTTTCTGGAGCATGAACTCACCTACCAAAGCTCAAATAGTCTGAGGTTGAACTACACGTTTATAGTCAGATACTAATGGCTGTGTATCATATTCCGGCTGCTGCAGTGGTTTAAAGCCTCATTGGTCTTGAGGATAGAATAAGGGGACTTTTATAGCCTGCACTCATTGCTAAGCATCCAGATCTTCCCACTTATTAGATGAGGGACTATTTGTCTAGGTTGAAGGGGTTTAACATTCTCCTGGTCTTCCTCTCCCCACAGGGCATGTGCACATCACAGACTTCAACATTGCTGCTCTGCTGCCCAAGGAGACTCGGATTACCACCGTAGCTGGCACCAAGCCTTACATGGGTGGGTATGAGCAGCTTCACAAGTGGTTTTCATTTGTAAGAACAGATTTGGTGTTTCCAATTCTTCTAGATACCATTTGCTGAAGGTCATATTCTTAAGGACTTGCACTTGGAGCAGACAAATTCCTTTCTGGTTGGCTTTACCTAGGGGACTACCGATGTATGGGTCTGAAGTAAGGCAGAGCCATCTGCATTAGCAAGTTACATGGTTGGATTTTGATTCAATAGGGACATCGATCACATTCTACAAATTCTATTTTATGACCTAATCAGTTGTCTATCGACTTCCGAACAAAAGTATGAATTTAGTCAGTGGCTAATTACCTATGTCTGTGAAAGGATTTTAACATGATAGTGACCCATTTAAAAGCAATACGTACAATACGTACCTCATGCCAGTAGGAGAGATACAAAACAAATCACACAAAGGAACCAGAAATAAGTCAAATCATAACATATAGCAAGAGTAATTTTAGCACTGTATAAATAATATTGTATGCATGCACAATGTGGTAAAGTTTTCAAGGTACTTCCACAGTTCTAGGATTAGCTTCAATTTTGTTTTCACAGCAATCTCATGAGTTAAGTTTTTCTTAAAATAATTTATGCCTAAGAACTGTTCCATTATGTGCATGCCTCCATTTACAGTGATATATGGAACTGATTTTTGTCTTGACAATTAAGAATTTAACAATGTAGGGCTAGGAGTCAAATAGCCCATAAAATCTACATTTAATTGTAGCAACAAATCAGCTCCAAATTCCATCTTCAATTGTCAGTGCTTTCCTCTGCAGAGAAATGCTGTTTTCATAGAACTTGCTGCACCCCTATCTGCTCTGGAAAATCTAGAGATTTTCTGTTTATCAGCAGACATGTTATTCTCACAGTAGTGAAATACATGCCTTTTCCATATCACTCCTAAAGACTTGAGTTGATTCTCATCTGTAAAAGGAGACTGCAGGTTCATTTCCAGGCCGCCCAAACCCAAATAAACACATAAAAAACATATTAATTACAACACTGTTTGGCCAATGGCTCAGGCATATTACTAGCTAGCTCTTACAACTTATATTAATCCATTTCTATTCATAGGTGTATTGCCATGAGGTTGTGGTTTACTGGCAAGGTTCTGGTGTTCCTTCAGCAGCTACATGGTGTCTCCTTTTGACTTCACCTCCTCTCTTTCTATTTCTCTTCTAGCCTGGCTATATATGGTCCTACCATAGGCCAAATAATAATAAAACATATCACAGTATACAGAGGGGAATTTCACATCACTCATCATCTGTTAATTCTTGATTTGATTATAATAACAGGATCTTAGCAATCAGATTGGGGTTAGGTATCTGTCTGCTGAACTTGCTGTTTCCTGAGTTCACTGATCCTAGTTGTTCATGAGGGTTTGTTGACTGTAGAGACAAGTATTAGCAGTAGAAGACAGAACTTGACTGTTTTTGGTGGGGAGGGGATAGGTGAAACTCGTGGTCCAGCTTCACAGGGGTAACAATGCTGGGTTACAGCTTACAAAGGAGACTCACGTCTGCATGGCTCACTGGAGATGCCAACAGTTGCAGTACAGGCTAACTGCTCCAGGGTAGATCCTCTGTCATCATTAGGCTTAGAAAGTCATTGGGTCCCTGCTGTGCAAGCTAAATTGACAAGCTCTGCCAGCCCTGTCACGGACTCATCATTGCTGCAGTAGGATGTCATGGTCCCTTTTACATGTTTAAACACAAGCAGTGCTTGCTAGGAAACAAGAGATGAAGATGTTGTTAGAGCCAGCCCAGTCCTCTATCCCTACTCTGAGGTGGGGAAATCCAGCCTGATGAGGTGGGTGACTGAGCTCTGAGAGACTGCTGTCAGAATTCAGCACACTGGATTTTAAGACGTTTGAAGCCTTATAATAAGCAAAGGGATTAAACTTGATTAGGTCTTGATGATTGATAAGCTATCCATGGGGTGGGGGTGGGGTACCAACTTGTTAAAGCATGGCGTTAAACAATGCAGGGTTACTGGCAGACACAGGAGAAGGAAACCCACTCTCTTCTAGGCCAGCTCTCTTAATTAGTTAGGATATTAAAGCTGTTGATGCTGAAGGGATTCAGAAAGGGGCAGAGTGAATGTCACCAGCTAGATGTGGCCAGAGAATGTCATAGGAAAAGGTCTGAACTTGGAAAAAAAATCAAGGAAATGAACAATACCACTTTCAATTTTTTCTTGCCAGTTTTTCATTCTCTTTCCTCCACATGATTAGGGGGCGGGGGTCCCTCTTACATGAAAGGCCATCACAAGATCTTCTCTCTAAAGAAAAAAGAAGCCTTATTTTATGTAACATTTGAACAACTGCAGATTTCATGGCTTTCAATGGCCAGTGGGGGAATAAATTTCTTTTGTCGCTTCTAATATAATGGACACACAATTCAGCCCATTTTTCTGCCTAAAACCCACGGCACTCTAGTTATAAAAGGGACTATCCAAGCCTGCTGGTCTGTCCAGTTTATTTTCTGGGTTTCCTGGGTTTCCATATTATAGGCTATTTTCTTGGCGCCAAATCATAAAGTGTGCATCTGGGGTTTCTAGGGATGGTTTCCATGGTGACAGAGTACTGGGAACACAACTTTCCTCTCCCCAGTCCTTTTAAGTATAATATCTGTATAATTTAATTTTTTTCACAGTTGTCATTTCTGGCATCTTCATGGAATAGAACTAGGAAATTGGAGTCCAGACACGAGGCCAGGCACTGTCAGCTTTCATGTTTCCAGCGGGCAATTGCTAGTGTTTATTTATCCAACTCTTCCTGTGGACCAGACAATGTGTCCGATACTTTACATCCATTTAGTCATTCATGTTTCCCAAAGTGCCCTATGATGCTGGCTATACTTATCGTGGTTAAGCAAAGACACTCAGCAATTTGATGTGATCTTCACGGTAACAATTAGTCATCTTGGGATGAAAATCTTAGACTTATGTCAAGCTTTGTCTGGCTTCAGATATTGAGAGGCACAAGGGGTGAAGTGTGTGCTGGGTCATTTCCACTCCTGGCCCTTCAGGAGCTGAACTAGTTCTGTTTGTCCATCATGTTGGGAATGTTTCCCACTGTATTCCAAAAGAATGTGTGAACGACATAGCCTATGGCTTTATCTTCATCTACTTTTGTCTTTTTTAAAAATATCTCTTTTCATGAAGGATTCTGACTAGAAGCCTGCCTTCTCTTTTACTCTATCTACTGGTAATTTACTAGCACTTACTTTATAGTGCTGGTGTAGAATGCTAGCAATTAACTAGAGAGAAAGGAAGGTAGGAAGAAAGGAAGGAAAGAAGGAATGATGGAAAGAAAGAAGAAGAAAGACCTGAGAAGACAGAGTCCAGGATGAAACAACAAGATGAGGGGCGTGTCCTTCATAAGCTCTTACCTTCTGCCCTCCTGTTCCAGCTCACTGCTCTAGCTCCTCCTTCATCCCCATCTTAGAACTGAGTATAATCCAGATCACTTAGAAGGTCACCAGTTAAAGCTTTCTCCTTTATACTGAGGAGGTGTGTGTGTGTGTGTGTGTGTGTGTGTGTGTGTGTACGTGAATGTGAGGAGGGGTGTGTGTGTGTGTGTGTACATACGTGAATGTGCGTGCCCGTGCGTGTGTGTGTGTGTGTGTGAGAGAGAGCACGAAAGTCCACTAAGAAAAAAGTGCAGAATGCTGACAAGCGAAGAAGAAAATAATTCCTGCACCAATTGATGTTTATAGATTCCTTTTGAATGTTTTTCTGTGTACAAACACATTTACCTTTTCACTTTTAGAAGGTGGATTAGACCAAATTTCTTTGATGAACAATTGCTGTCATGTAGTGAGCATCCATAATGTCCCAGGTGTTTTGTTAAGTCTTTAATATTCATTATATCATTAAAACAGCTCCATGAGACAGATCTTACTGTGATTTTTATTCATACATTAGGAAGTCCAACCCAGAGAGAAAATAGCATGATCATATCCCCGAACAAGTGATTGGCAGAGCATGAAATGAAATCCAAATCTAGAAGCATCGAGCCTGGAACATTTGGGGAGATGGCGCTGATAACGATGTAATGACTGACATTCACTAGCACGCTGGGTACATTCTGAGAACATGCTTTAGATCGCTCGCTCTAAAAACAATTCAGTAAGGCAATAACTGTGGCTGCTTCCACTTTAGAGGTGAGCAATCTCAACAGTCAGGACACAGGTCCAAGGAAGGATTAAAAGCATGGTCTTAGTGAACAGTTCTCAGCCTGTGGGTTACAACCTCTTTAGGGAGAGGGATCTAATGACCCTTTGATGGGAGTCATTTATCAGACATTCTGCATATCAGATATTTACATTATGATTCACAACAGTAGCAAAATGACAGGAAGTAGCAATTAGAATAATCTTATGTGTGTGTGGGGGGGGGTCACCACAACATGGGAAATTGTATTAGAGGGTTGTATAATGTGAATTCTAATTGGTCTTAATAATAAAAACCCAGAGTTAGATATCAGGGTAAATGCTGAAAGATCAGAGAAACAGAGGGGGCAAGATCCTGTCTCCAGAAATCCCCAGACTGAATGCCTTAAGCTCCCGCCATATATTCCTCTCTCCACCCAGCCATATCCCTTCCTGTCTTTACCTCCCTAGTATTAGGATTAAAGGCTTGTGACTCCCAAGTACTGGGATTAAAGGTGTGAGCCACCACCATCCCTGGCCTTCTTTCTCTTTGAGACTAAATCAATCTAGTGTAGCCCACAGTGGCCTTGACCTTGTAGAGATCCCTCTGCCTCTGCCTCCCCAGTGCTGGGATTAAAGATGTGTGCCCCTCCTGTCTGGCCTCTATGGCTGACTAGTGGCCAGCTCCACACTCTGATCCTCAGGCAAGTTTAGCATGTTAGAGCACAAACAAAATATCACCACAGGGTTACAGCATTGGGAAAGTCGAGAAGCACTGCTCTAAGCTGTCTGATAGCCATGGGTCCAAGCAGTCCACACACCTCTCCTGGAAACGGTACCCTCTTCCCCCTGCCCACTTAGCCTGAGCCTTGTCCGACAACGAACTCTGCTCATTTTCCTGTGTCAGGACATAAAGCCCACGTTCTGCACCATGTGCTGCAGACGAGAGGGCCCCGCTGTGGTGTGTGTAGTTTCCTCTGCTGTTGAATACTTGGTTGCTTCTCACTGTGAACTGTCCTTTTGTCATAGATATCTTGGTTCTTGGTAGTAGAATCATTTCCATCAACTTGATTATTTCTTGTCATGAATATTGTCATAAAATAATGTCTTCTACCCTTGAGTATCATCGAGCGTAACTTGGGTTTTTATCAATCTAAACAAGAGTAAGGGCCATCAAGATGGCTCATCAGGGAAAGTGGCCCACTGCCAAGCTGATGACCTGAGTCAGATCCTTGGAACCCACAGAGTTGAAAGAAAGAAGTGACTTCTACAAGCTGTCCTCTGACCATGACATTCACATCATGGAATGGAATGTGCCCATGCCTGTACACACACACACACACACACACACACACACACACAAAGGCAAATGTGTGTTGTAATTCATAGTTGCTTCAATTGATTCATTCACACTATATATTTAAATATACTGTACTCAATAAACATACAAGTTTTACCTATTAGCTAAAATTACCACTGCAAAAAAGAATTCCTGCTTACAAAGCACACATGCCAATGTCTCTCCCTGAAGGCTGGTTTCTACTCATGCTGGAAGAGCGTAACACACATACTTCCCTGCATCCTCACCCGTGCCCAGTTATCAAGACCCCAACCTCCCAAATACCAGGAGAAGCAGACCTCACTGTCACGTCGGAACCCATCTCTGTGACTATATATATTGCCTGTCCATAGACTCTGCTTATTTTCTTATTGATCCCGTTTTTCTTCCCTTTTGTGCTTCTTAGTGATTACTTAAATAATACCTGCCTGTATGTATCGGGGACATGATTTCTAGCTCCTAGTGTGCGGTATTTGTGGTGTGCACGAGTTCTTTGTCTCCTTAATTCGTTGGTTGTGAGATTCAGGTTTGGGGGCCGAGTCTTGCCGTGTTGCTCTGGCTGGTCCAGAACTTTCAATGTAGCTCAGACTTTAAACAAGCAGGAGTCTCCTTGTTTGTCTCCTGAATGCTGGGATTGCACGCATACACAATGAGCTCCTCGTTTATAAGCTCTAACTACTCACGTTTGTGTGGAGGGCTGGGATTCACGCCCAGGGCCTGGCTCATGTGAAGCATGTGTTCAGTCTCTCAAGTTTGCATGTGGACCTGCTTTAGGGTTTCTGTCCTGGATGCAATTCTTAGCTAGATCTTCTTATTCCAGATCTTAGATTTGTCTACTTAGTACTTTATTATTTTATTCATTTTTACTTATTACCAATTCTATACTACATTCACTGGACGTATATCTAATAAGTCTTATGCCATTTTTGTTAGGTTATTAATTATTTGGAAATTCTGTGTAAAATCACAACCCTCCAATGCTTATTTGAAAATCATTCCTCATCATCTAAATAACTTCAGATACTAATATCTGTACTCTGGGGTTTTCAGTATTAATTGCCATAGCTTTATAATATACGGGATATACGGTGTTTTTCTGTTCTTTTTCCAAAGCGCATCATTTGCACACTTTTTGAGGTCATATCTGAATTTTTTTATTATATTATAGAACTATTTGGGGGGGGACCCTTTCTGACAAAAACCTGATGCCTAGGCTTTAAACTCTAAATCTGACCATCATCAAATACCCAATTAAGCATATGAATTGTAGCAAGCCTACAATGAATTTCAATGGAAATTCATTTGAAATTGCAATGAGATAAAATGGCACGTGCGACAAGTCAGTAATAACCCCAAGTGTGGAAAAGAGTGTTGAGCAAAGGGGGCTTTGGCTGCGGGTCTCGGTGTGAGCAGCACAGCCCTTTGATGGGTATGTGAAATGCACAGCCCTATCTCCAGCCCATCTGCTCCTGACAACACCACCAGTGATACAGGAATACAGCAGCACAGGAGTGGTCCAGGCAACATTGTTTGCAATACTCCCAAATGTAAAATAGCTCCAACAGCTATCCACAAGAGGGCAGGTACGTAAATCACCATGTATCCATGTAGTGCTAAGTTCAACAAACTAAATTGCCTAGCAGTTTGGATCAATCACAAACAACTATATTTGGTCTGAAAAGGTGTCATGCAAATGACTTGGTAGGATGTGTTCCTTCACTTTCTCTCTCTCTTTTACTTTGTTGGCTTTATTGTAATTGCTTGAAACAAATTAAGTAAATGGTTTTGCAGTCCCTCATTTCATTAATTCGTAGCCCCAGGGAAATATATATCATATAGACAAAATTAATCTGTTGCTTAGAAATTCATATGCCATTATAAAAATCAACATTATTCAATGAAAATTCAGGGTGGTGAGTTCTAAGCAGAGTGGGAAGGTTAGTTGTAGTGGTGGGAGCAAGACTGTGCTTCTTGATGGGGACGATGGTTACAGGGGCACTGGCCTCTAAATAGTCCTTTGTTTCTTTTCTGTTTCAGATGCTTTCTGAATGTGTATATTGAAAAACTCTTTAAAAAGGAAAAAAGTTCCAAACAAAAGACCTCTTGTCTATTCGGAGGGAAAGCAATGCTTTCCCAGTTCTGTTGGGCTTCTCTCAGGAGCAAAGGGAGTCAGGAAATCAGAGCAAGGAATCAGAGAAAGGCCCTCAGCATCTCCCATTGCCACCTGCCTGCTTGAAGGCCTAAAATGTCCCAGCACTTTTGTGTGTTGTCATGGTTTCTCTTCTTAAATGTCCATCGCGCTACCTCAGGGCTTAGCACAACATGAATGCTGGTTTAGTGAAGGAGCACATATACAGATGCCTTCATGTTTGAAAGCAGAGCAAATGGCAGACATGTGCTCATACACTTGAATATAAAAAAGAACAGTCATGCCTCCTCCAAGGATGGTTTGATATGAGAGAGTCCAGGGCTTTGGTAGTGTAATATTTACTTTGTTTGGTGTTTCCTAACAACATGGTCTCTGCCATGCTTCTGAATGCCCGGATGTCCTCTTAAGTGCAGTGTTTGACACCTGTCTCCTGAGAGATGATTTGTGGTACGATCCTGAAGAAGGAACACAAACCTACAGTTCATTCTATCCAGGAATAGGAACACTGAGGGGTCAGGGCCGTTGTCTCCCCAGTTCCACTGGGACTTTGAACTTGAAGAAAGGACACTGTGATCCGTGAAACATGAATTCACCAGGGCATGAGACCCACTTAGTTCTCCAGCATAGAGCCCTTAGAGCCAGTCCTGAGCATCAGGATGTCTATATGCTACCCTTGGAATGGGAAGCTGTCCACAAAAATCTAGCTAGAATTCAAGCTCACAGTTAAACAGGTTTGTATAAACAGGCCATGTCCTCAGGATTTCCTTTGCCCAGTCAGTACCTTACTGCAGGAGGTGTGGCATCAACTCTTTGTAGCTTTGAACTAGGTAAATTCCTCGACTGTTATGGTCATTTGCTTCTGATTCTTTGTTTTGATTGTTTTGCAAATGCCAGACACTGTGTTGACCTTTGGACAGGCATGAACTCATTTAATTTCTAAACTGATAAAAAGAATTATTTTTAGTGTTCTGATCTTGCTGGGGCAGGAATTACGCTGTGCCCACTGATTTGCTCATGAACACCGTAAATAGTAGGGGCAGCCTTTGAACCCAGCACAGGCACAGAGATAATGGTCACAAGTCTGGTGGCTTCCGTGTTCACTCATCTGTTTGATAAGTTTCTATCTACTGACTCTGAGTGCTAGGTTCTTGACTAGACAGTGTGTAACTTAGTGAGCAGCAGCCCCATAGCTGTCCTTGCTTGGTCCTTCATGTCCCCTGACCTAAACATTAGGAATCAAGTATAGTCTTAGAAATGTATAACTAAGTGCATAGAGACGGCCTGAGGGCTCACCTCTAAGGTTCAATTGATGCTGACTCTGCTTTCCAGTACAGTCAATTCAGAGAACTAGAGTTATAAAGTAGAAACCTCCCATGGTTATTGCAAAGTGTTATACTTCATTGAGTGCCCTCTCTCCTTTCCCCCCTGATCTCATGCATAGAAGAAAGCTGCATTCACCCCCTTGATGCTGCCAGGTGTCCCCAAGTCAATGCATATCTTCCTCCAACTCTAAGCATTGTTTGAGATTGCTAAATAAATTCAGCTCCTTTAGTGTAGACTTTGCAGATGAAGACAGTGTAAAGGTTCTAAAGAAGAAAAGAGTTTGTCCACTAAGGTCTGCGCATGTCTGCTTGTGTTAGCTGATGAACGGGACTGCTGGGCGAGCTAAGAAATTAGAAAGTGCTGCCTGCTGCGAGCAATCCACCACTGAATAATAAACAACTGTGGGAGTGTTTACACCTTCCAGGCTTGCTGATTCTTCTTGGGAGGAATGTGTTGGGGAAATAGATTGATTGGCATCTCAGGGAGCAAAACTAACCTTTTCCGTGTTTTGCAGCTCCTGAGATGTTCGGCTCCAGGAAGGAAACAGGCTACTCCTTCGCTGTTGACTGGTGGTCCCTGGGGGTGACAGCTTACGAGCTGCTAAGAGGCCGGGTACAGTTGAACCACATGTTCTCGTTTCGTATTATTCTAGAAAAACAATGTTTTCAAGATCTGCTACTGTATGTCTATGTATGTGTGCCCGAGTGTGTGTTATGTACCCCACGTGTGTGCAGTGCCTACAGAGGCCAGGAAAGGGCATTGGATGCTTCGAAATTGGAGTTACATGTGCCTGTGAGCCACCTTGATGTGGGTGCTGGAATCTAAACCCAGGTCCTTTGCAAGCAATCAGGCTCTTAATCACTAAGCTACCTCCCCAGCCCCTTCAGGTTCTGTTTCAGAATGCAAGAATGCATTATTTGCTAAGAACCAAGCAGTTTATTTGAAATCAGAAAACACCTATGCTGTCTGGTGTTAACAATACCCCTTGAGACCTCTGCACAGATGAATTCAGTGTTCTCTATGTGCTGCCGAATCTGTCAGTTAATATTAATTCTACAGTTAAGTTAATAATATGGATATCAAAAACTTCTGATAAAATGAAATCAATAGGCCTCACTCTCTTGGGTAAATCTACGTGTGTGTTTAAAGAAAATCATTTTTAGTCACTGGACAGGGCTCTCATTCAAACACACCTCTCCATCAACGTGAGAGTTGTTGGCACCAGACAACCTGCGCCCTGTCTTTTCGGTCCCATGTCTGACGTGGCTGCTGGGTATGAGTTCCCTAGCAAGCTGGAGTAGTGGCCTTTTCAGTGAAAATATTTCTCAAGCGAGAAACTCTTCCCTAGAAAAAGGTTCAGAGAAAAATAGTAAAAATTATATTTTACGCAATTACTACAAATTAATACGGAATTCAGATACCCCGCAAAGTTTTATCGTAGTTAGCCCAGCCTACCAAAATAGTGTACTGTGAACCTGGTAGCGTAGAGTATTTATTTTCTTACAGCTCATAGAGGCTGGAAGTCCAAGTCAGAGAGTCAGAAACGCAGGGCTCTGGTGTCCTAACAACACAGAGAATGGAAGGGGTGGAGGGATGGGGGGGGGGGGGCGAGTAAAGATGTGGAGAGCACAAGAAGGCAAAGGGGAGAGAGAAAGGTCATTTAATCTTAAAATGTCAGTCTCTGCCTTTAGGACACATTCTGTCTCAAACTGTGCCACAGTTCCTGTCTTTAAATACCATCTTGTTGAGGGTTAGCACTCCAACATAAGACTGTATAAGGAACACACCCAGACCATGGCCTTTCTCTCTGGGTTCTCCGAAACCCACGTCCTCCTCATATGGAGCGTACACTCAATAAATTCCACTAGCAATAACATTTTCTCCCCCCGGCATCATCTCTAGAGTCCCAAGACTCATCTGAATACCATCCAGATCCATTGTGGATGGGACCCAGGACATGTTTCCTCCCGGAGCAGAATTCCCATGCACCTGGGAACCTAGAAAGCTGGACAAATCACATGCTTTCAAGCTATGATGAAGGGCAGAGACATAAATTAGACAGTCCCACCCAAGAAGAGACGAAAAAGAAAACCAGAAGGGGTCCCAAGTTCAAAGCAGCAGTCCAACCAGTTCTCTTTGACCGTAAAGACGGAACAGAAGATGTTCAGTTGTCTGTCACCTTCCCTTCCATCTAGCCCATTGTCTGTCCCCTTTACCTCCAAGAGATTGTCTCTGCCGGCATAATCGCCTCTGCCTTTGGAAGCCCGTGACTCACAAGCAGCATTTCCTTATCAATTAGTTGTTCAGCCTTATCCTTTATGTTCTCTTCAAAATAAGCAACATCCCCATGAGCTTGTATTTTGTCCTTTTTTAATTTTTTTTCTTTTCTTGGCTTTGTTTTGTTTTGTTTGCAGTGTTTTATACTGTGAATAGAGTCCAAACTTGCAAGTTTTCAGTTTCTGCTTCTTTATTGCTAAACAATTTTCATCTCTAATTCCCCTCTTTTTTGTGGTTCTTCGTGTGTCAGCTGGTCACATGACACAAGTCATGCCACAGAGAACTTTCCCTGTATTCCTGCCCCCATTTTCCCCAGCAGCCTCTCCCAGTGGTTCATTTTACTTGTGAAGTAGCTCCATCTTATACATGAAGGAACTGAGGGACAGAAAATGAATGACCTGGTTTGGCATTCAAAGCCTCTGACCTCCAACTCTAACCCGTGATTACATTGTAAAACCTTTTAATTGACTACTGGAAAAAACAAACATTTCTTCTTTCTCCAAATTGGTTGGTCCATCAGCGATTACTTAAACATCTGGGAAAGACCAATCATGTGATAAATGTGTGCACACACATTAACTGTCCTGTGATTAATCTAATGTGGAAGTCCTGTCCCTGTGCACATAATATCGACTCTGGTTTTAAGTTGCTTACAGTTTTCCTAGAAGACAGAAAAACCCAGTATAGAAGTTAACGATCGTAACGTCTGCCCTCTAGTGGACAGATGTAAAATAATCAGCAGCTTGTCTTTTAGTTAAGAAAATTTTTTTTAATTTTAGAGTAGATTATAGTAACATGTTTCCAAATGAGATTTTCATACAAACTTCATTTTGATTTTAATTTCTTTTATTCAAGCCAAAACAATAGATGACAATGATTGTTCTGGAAAAGGTTTTGTTTGTTTGTTTAACCTTTTATCCCAGCATAAAGTTCCCCACAACAAACTTCATGGAAGCAGAGTATTAGACAATGGAACTGATATTTCTAAGCAATTTTCTGTCCTTAACCTTATCGTTATGTTTAATTTTTTACATTTTTGTTGTTGTTTATTTGTTTAAAAGCATCTCTCTCAGGTAGCATGGGCTTGGTTTAAACTCACTATGTAGCTGAAACCTGTCTTAAATTCCTGATCTTTCTGCCTCTATCTCCCAAGTCCTGGGATTACAATACATGCCACACCACCTAGTTTTTGTCATATTTCAGATAAGGCTATGGGAAAATTCTGATCTGTTTGTAATCAACCTTATGTAATAATTTGAAGTTTTTCTCTTCATTATTCACTTTTTATATAAATATGCCTAAAAGCTATGAACAAAACACTTTGAAATCAGTACCTCAGAGACTGGTTCAATCCACTGAAATATTTTGTTTCGATCTGTAAAATAACAAGTTCTTAAAACTTAGGATATTTTGATGAAAAACTAAAGTCCGTGACATTTCTTTAAAAATCCGTAGAAATTCTGACAGCACTTGACCATGTACCCAATATGGCTACCTGTCAATCAACTCAAAGGGGTTCTTGTTGAGGTTTTATTATTTCAAAGTTTACCTTGTAAACACTTTCACGCGTTTTCCCACCTTTGACCTGTAAAAATGAAGGCTCTTTCTCTTTTTCTCCCTTAAGAGACCATACCATATCCGCTCCAGTACTTCCAGCAAGGAAATTGTGAACATGTTTGAGACGGCAATTGTAACTTACCCTTCTGCTTGGTCACAAGAGATGGTATCCCTTCTGAAAAAGGTGAGACAGGAAAAAGGACATTGGAAGGAAGTCAAGAAAGGAAGTGTACAGCCTGGTATAAGGTTAGAAGTCTAGATGTGGTCAGCAAAACACACATTTGTAGAATGGGTCTTGTGACTAATCATTTTCATGTATATGGCTTTCTTAGTTCAACCAATGGGTGCCTCTGGATATTTCAAGGCCTTGTCAAACTCAATGTGTCCCAAGTGTAATTCTTAATCTCCCTGGATTCCGTGGGTCTCTTTCAGTGTTCTCTTTCCCAGTGGCTGGTCCCTTCATGAGGGCTCAGTCATCATCTCCATATCTGGTCCATCATCTGATCCTAATTTACACTTTCAATCACCACTGTCACTTTAATGGCCCATCATCTCCGAGGCTTTGCTCTAGTTCAGCTGCTATCAAATCCTTGCAGATTCGTTGCCTGCTTCTGCCACTCCACTCTCTTTTCTTCTCTTCCCCATATTTCAGCGACTTCTTATTGGTCTTCAAATAAAGATCAAACGAAATTGTGTATTATACCAGTTACAAATAGCCTCTCAAACTTTGTGAATCTGGCCGCCCTTTGGTTGGTTTGGTTGTTTTGCCTTCTCCTCCAATTCCTTAGATAATATCACCACGAGGTTTTACACGTGATAGTCTCTCCTGGATCACTGCTTCACACCTTAGCTCTTCTAGCACCTTCTCATAGTTTTATGAGATCAATACAACTTCACGTGATTTTCTGACTGACAATGGCCCATACATTGCTTTCTACAACTCCATTGTAAGTACAGAAACCAAGAGAAGCATTTTGACACTGCTCTGTCAATACTACATTGCCACATTGTCAATGGATGTGTCTCCTTGAGCAGTGAATGAGCTTGTTTAGCTAATGTTGAGTTGAAGTCCTATGTTGTACGTGGTCTGGAGTTGCATGTGAGCCCAGTACAGTCAAATCACATATTGGCTTCAATGGGTCATAAACTGGAGCAACAATACAAAGAAAAAAAGGTTGCTACCCATTTTACATCATTTGTAGACACAGCTTCAGGTCTCAGCTCTGTAAAGCCATGTTTACTTCATACTGTTTTTCATGATTTGAGCTTGGTAAGCTAAGGTTTAGAAAGCAGTCTTGCCTAGCAGGAGAGTCAGGAAGGGAAGTTCTATTGGATTCCAGGGACAATCCATTTGACTCATCATGTAACAGGCACTACTTCTAGTGTCATTCCAAAGCATGCACTCTCCACAGGATTTGCATGTGGGTAGGAGAAGGAGGTCACTGTCTTGTCAAACCGCTTGCTTGATCTCTGCTGCAAGGAACTCCCTTTGGATGCTTCGTGCAGAACACTTAGGGGGAAATTTTGGGGTTCACCTATCTGGTCTTCCTTGTGACAATGATGTTTGTATTTCATTGGCAGCTACTTGAACCTAATCCAGACCAACGATTTTCCCACTTGACTGACATTCAGAGTTTCCCTTACATGAGTGACATGAACTGGGATGCAGTGCTTCAGAAGAGGCTCATTCCAGGCTTCGTTCCAACTGTAAGTCCAGTCTAACAAGCCCTAATAGCTCCCACCCTCTGTCCACATTACTCTGTGTACAAGTTCATGCAGGGCCTTATTTGATGATCCCACCAGGAATGGAAAAATGCCCCAGGACTAGTTTTACAGTGGAGAAAACAGAGAGATACATGGAGTAAATTGACACCCCCCCCCCCCAAATCACACAACTGGCCAGAAGCTAAACTGGGGTTCCAATCTAGGGAGTTGATGTCTGGGCTTCTAGGTTGTAGCCATGATTTGTGCTGTAAGAGGTTCTAGTCTCCCAAATAGTTATTTCCAGAAATATGCTGGTTGAAAAGAGCAATCTCTTTTCTTCTTGCAAGGAAGTAATCTTTGCTGTCCTTGGAAATCTGTGAGTTGCTTAGTGGGAAACTTCACCCCCAGGATCGTTCCTCTTCTTTTCTAAGATTTACTGTATTGACCATAGTTTTAAGAGCTAGTAATTGCAGAGAGATAACTCCCATGGGGTGAGTACCAAACAAGTGTCTCTGTGTCCCACTGCACACGGCTGGATTAAGCTTAGGCAGGGCTACTCCTAATGCTTCTCTCTCCTCTCTGTCTTGGATGTGAGTTGTACCACTGGGCAGAGAAACATTGGCAAGAATGAGGTGCTCCCACAGGCTCTTGAATTTTCTGTTCAAGTCCAAGTGAGGCACTTGTTATAGGGACACAAACACATGTTCAGTGCACATGTGTTGCACTGAACGGCTGGATAAGATGTCCAGTGAGTTTGTCAAGTAAAAGCCCTGTAGAAGAAAGGAGGGAGCGGGGAGGCAACATTCAAGAGTATAAGTGTCTACCTTCGTGAGCAACAGGAAAGCGGGGAGACATTTGTACTTGGGTGCATACTGAGGTAAGTATGTGGGACCTTGGATAGCACCTGATGCAAACACAAACTCCCTTCTGTTAGCCACTCCTGATTCTTGTGAGAGGCTCCACCTTATAGATCGTGGGTCTTTCTGATAACCTAACTCACTTGAAGAACCTGGCAAGTGGCAAATTCTTGGCCTCATGTTCAGAAATTCTGATGTTGAAAGTTGGTTGGTGACCTTGGCAGCTGAACAAGCAATGGCCATGGTTCTGATCTATGCGGTCATTGGAACAAACTAAGGAACCCAAGAGCTCAAACCTTAGAAATATTATTTTAATATGGTCTCCTCCATTACTCACTGAGGGATAGTTAGAAGCATATGAAAATAAATAAACTATACAATCAAAGACTATAAATGACAAGGCTGGCAGTCAGTGCTATAAAACCTCAGCGGCCATTCAAGTTTTTATGCTTGAACTGTTCCCCTTAGGACTAAGTACTGTTTTCTGTATTAGGTTTATACAGTCTTAGGAATGATGCAAGCCTCTAAGGACTGAGCCATGCTTTCCTCTTTACAGAAAGGCAGGCTCAATTGTGACCCTACTTTTGAACTGGAAGAAATGATTTTGGAATCCAAACCTCTTCATAAGAAAAAGAAGCGCCTGGCCAAAAAAGAGAAGGAGATGAGGAAATGCGACTCGTCTCAGGTAGGTGGGTTCCCCCTCAAGCCAGGGAAGGGCAGTTCATTCCAGAGCTGCTGTGGGGAGGTCATCTGGAAGCCTGCTTTTCCCTGGTGTTAGGGGTTTATGGTAATGAGATAGGCACAGCTGCCATGGCCCCTAGACTGTCTGTACCTTCTTGTTGACAAGCACCAAGCAGCACCAGAACATGGGTCCCCAGGCTTTGAAGGACATCATCTTAATTTCCCATCATGTCTCCGGAAAGGTGTGGTACAGGCTGCTGAAGGGGCATGTACAGGACTCCCTGACAGGGGCACGGACGGTGGGTTAACCACTACTGTGTTAGCAGTTGTTGACAGAGGTTTCTCTCCTGCCCTGTTCCCACAGTCACTAAGTCCCAAAGAAACATACAGGGGTTTACATTAATTACAAACTGATTGGCCCAGTAGCTCAGACTTCTTATTAACGCTTATCACTTCTATTAGCCCATTATTCTTGTCTATGTTAGCCACATGGCTCATTACCTCATTCAGAGAGGCAGTCACACCTTGCTTCCTCTGCATCTGGGTCACGACTGCAGACCAAGCTTTCCTCTTTCCAGAATTCTCCTGTTCTCATTGCCCCACCTCTACTTCCTGCCTGGTTGTCACACCTATACTTCCTACTTAACTACTGGCCAATCAGCATTTGATTAAAAATAATACAAGTGACAGGAAAAAAGACCATTGCCCCACAGCAAGCAGTAAAACTATGACCAATCTGCACTTGTGGATTCGATCCAGGTTGTTCACCAAATAGAGGTCATTGGCTATTTGTGGTCCCTGTGTGTCATCTAAGCATCCTTCTGTTTCTTTGTTGTGCTCACCTTGAAGACCTGTCTTCTTCAAGAGCACCTTGATGCCGTTCAGAAGGAATTTATAATTTTCAACAGAGAAAAGTGAGTAATGGGGTGAAGTCCAGCAGCTTGAAATGATGCTATTTAGGCAGATTTCATTTGCAGAGATTTGATCGATTTTAAGCTCTAATTTTTCTGATTCTAAAATTATGCAAATATAGGATAAAAATTTTGAAATTTCTAAAGCCTTTTTTCTGCCAGTGTTTTTTTTTTTTCTGATAAATAACCCTAGTGTCATAGTTTTACTTAGGGAAACTGGATTGTAATCACAGTGACAGTTTAAAAATGTTTCATTTTAATGTTTGGGGGGACAGGGGGGCAGTCATTGGACAAGTTGCAAGAGCCATTGCTCTCTTTCCACTTGTGGGTCCCAGGGATTAAACTCAGGGTGTCAGGCCTGTTGGTAAGCGCCTCTACCCCCTGAGCCATTTTGACAACCCAACACATGATTTTTAAGATTTTTTTTCAGCTCTTACCTCTTTATAAATTGAGGCAACCCTGAATGGACTCAGCAGGTTGTATTTATGTATTTATTCATTTTTACTTCCAGCTTCAGTTGTTAAAGAGGAGGAGGGAGTGAACTTGGGAGGGGCCTGGGTCAGACAAACAAGGGGTGGGACGGAGGAAAGGGAGTGAGAAATGACGTGATTATATTTTAATTAAGTTTTAAAATAGTAAAACATTATTCAATTATATGCTATTGTTTCAAAAGTTTAAGTTCATTTTTCCTTTGAATGAACAATCTCTCTCTCTCTCTTCTTTAAGAGTAAAAAGAGACTTTAATCAAAGACAAGCAAATCTAGCCTTGGAACAAGCCAAAAACAACCCAGAAGAAGAAAATGGCCAGAATAACAATCTGTGAAGCTTCGTCATCTTCGGGGGACAGTTCTCGGCACCTGGCCAGAAACTTCTCCTTATTGCATCCAGAAGAGCTAACAGCAGTCCTTACCTCTCCACACCTCATGACTTAGAGAATGTGAATGAATATCCTTCCAAGGTGGCAACACTCTACAGTGAAGGGAGCCCTGGTTCTGAGCTCCTCAGATCTGACTGCTCCACATTGAGCCTGTGACCTTAAGCCAGTCATTGAACAGTCATTGAACTTCCTCCTCTGTTTTAGGTCACTGCTTGGAAGGTAGAGAGTTCTGTCAGCCTTTAGTCTGTTAATGCCACAGTTACTGTTCTAAACAACCTTTATTTTCATTTTCAGATGAATATTTCAGTGTAGATTTATTTTTTCATTCTTTTTGATGACATTGTGAAAATGGACACTGTATGCAGTGAGCCTCTTCAGGGCTAGAGAATATCACACAGAGGCCCGAATTCCATGGCCTGGTTAGACAGGAATAGAATATTCCATCAATAATAAATATGGAGGTCAGATTCGGAGTAGACTCTTAGGACCTTGCAGGGGGGACCTTTGTTGACACAGCATCTGTTAGCAAGGACCTATTGTGCACATGGCCTCTCAACTTCTCTTCAGGGATATGGCCTTGCTCAGTTGAACTTGGTACTGATAGAAGGAGTACCAAGCAGAAGTTTAATAAGCACTAAGCAGAAGTTTAGTAAATGCTGCAAGCTGTGATATTTTCAGCATGGCAGTTGTACAATATTCGAATCTATTTGCCAATCTCTGGTATGCCTGTCCCTTGAGCACCGATTTTCCTCAGGATTGTCAGAGACCTGCTTCTGGAGAGGGTCAGAGAGTGCTGCCCCAATGATGGCAAGTTTGCTTCTAACAGTTCAGTGACGTCATACCTCACAGGAGAGTCACCTTGCATGTTAAAATTGGAAGCTGGTGAAACTTCCCCTTGAGAAACTCCTAACTCCACATGGCGCAAGGAAAGGAAAACTTAGCCAGCCCGTTGCTTTTCTGTCATGAAACGTGTCACTTTTTGTTTTGTTTTGCTTTGTTTTGTCTGGTCCCTTACTTTTCATATTGGCCAGCTAAAATATGGAACAATTCACACATGACCACAGACTAGAATTACATTTAAAGCAACAGGATGCTTACAGATCCCAGAGGTCAAGTTCAGGTACCCTAATGTCCCCACATTATACTCACTGTGACATGGCCAGCAGGAGTTGCCTAGCTACTTAAAACATTACTGATGTCTCACTCTTTCCCGTCTTCATATTTCAATTGTATGCAAAGTGTAATTCATGTAAATGTGCGTGTCACGTAACTACACTGTACTGATGCAAATGAAATCTGGAAGGATCTCTTTGGATGTCTTACTGGTGCCATTGGGTAGAATCAAGAAGGATGTGGGCTTTAGAAAGCATTGTTTTCAACTCCTGAAACCGGAGGCCATCTAGTGGTCATCATGATGATAGCAAGCTGGTTCAAAGGACCTGACGTCTTGGGAAAGACAGACAGATGGAAATAGGTGATAGAGACTGAAGCAACAACTAAGTTTGTGCAGAGAAGCAGGAGCTGAACCCAAAACCAGCATTTATGGTTCTCCAGAATTTTCGACATGGCTGTTACAGTGCCTATATACTAAGAGCAACCATATTTTTTTTTAAAGAATCAAAACCTACTTCTTTTATCCAACTCTTATCTCTGAAGTTCTCACTTGTTATTTGTGGTAGTCTGCTCATGTTTAGTTACTGTTTAATTCAAAGCACTTGCCCTGACTTTCAGGGCGTTGAATGGGTCAGACATAGCAAAAATGAGGTGACTGGACTCTGTTCCAGACTGTCACCTCAGCCAGGGTCAGGGACCGCACACACCCCCCAGCTTCAGCCTTTTATCTGTCTGTATTGAGGACCTGATGTGCGATGGATTCTCTTCCTTCACCTGGCTCCTTCTTCTGGATCTTGCCGGCACCCTCCAAAAGAGCAGCTTTCGGAAATGGTTTCCAAAGGCCAGCAGGGCCAGCAGGTGTGCTCCGGGGTGATGTGGACTGTTTAGCATCTTTAAACACTAAGGTGGGGATAGGAACGCTTCGGATCTCAGAAGTACCAATTCCTCATTTTTATTCTCGTTGAGCCTCTTCCCGAGTCCTGCTGGCTTTCGGAACTGGGATGTGCTAGTTCTGGTGCAATGTGAGGTTAGGTAGATTTCCAGTGCCAGTCAGATAAGTGGCACACAATGTGTTTCAAGTTAAAGAAGAAATGAAGCGTTGGCCTGGGTCTGTCCCTCCGCAGTAGAAGGTGTTCCGAGCATGCACGAAGGCCTGGGTTAGGACCATGGCACCAGGAGAAACAATCACTGCATCTGGCTGTAGAGAATAACATCCTGATCACAGCCCACTGCTGAGCATTGTAAAGAAGTGATTTCTAAAGTAAAACCCAACGTTCCCTAATGCTCCTGCTGATTGCTTCTTGGTTTTGTTCCCTAACTTGAGCTAAATGTTAGCACCTCCCAGATGAAACAACCCTCAGTTGTACTTCTAAGAAGAATTGAATTAGGACTGAGAACATGAGAAACAGTGTGACTATTCCATCGCTTTTTTTTTTTTTTTTTTTGCTACTCCAAGAATCGCTCCTAGGAGTTTCCTCCCGTACCAGACAGAGCCCCTGAAAGGCCTGAGCAGGGTCTGAAAGCCAGGGTGTCCTGCCTGTGACCCCACTCCCTATACGGCAGTGAACTGCTACCTCCAGGAATTCCCAATGACCCAGAGTGGAGGGGTGGGGCAGCCTTACCCATGGAGCAACCCGAGCCATGATCCCCACTCCCTGGATGAATGGAAGGAACCTGCTAAGGGCCAGTGACCCCACAGCAGCCCTGGTGTTAGCTGGGATGATCTTTAGGACAGGAATGAATCTCAAACAGCACAGAATATTACTAAATTAATCATGTTAATCTAATTAATTAGTGGAGATCCAGAAACGACTGGATTTCCTCTCACTATGGCTTTCCAAGTGGACATGTGGAAAAGGAACGAGGAAAAGGAGTGCTGATGCGGTTGAGACCTGTGTTGCTTTTCGAGGTTGCCAGGGATGCTGAGCTTCCATGCTTCAGTCACTCAGTGGACAGGCATGGCAAGCGCTTTGCTGAGCTTCTCCGTGTCCCTGTGTTCCGTCCACACAACATCTGCCTCCTCCTCCTATCCACCTGTGACTGTTCTTCACTGTGGGCTGTGCGTCTGCCCAATGTTAGACACTGAGACTCTGACTTTCATTTTTCTGTGCTGTTCTGAACTGGTGGCTGATTTAGAAGCCCCCAACTTAAAAAACAAAAACAAAGTACGCTTCTGTTGAGCCATAGCCTATGTGATGTAAATGTGCCTGCACAGATTAAAATGTCATCTTTAACAATCTGCCCTCGGCCTTCCTTTGTCAGCTGTGCGTGTGTCTGGCCATCCCGGGTCACCTGTTCTTATTCTGCGTACACTGGGGAGGATGTGCCTTCAGCAGGGACAGTGTTGGAGAGCTGTATCTGCACATTTTAGTGCATTCACGGAGGGAGTGCCACCAGAATTTCGCCTTCTGCCTTTTACTACATCCTCAAGTTTACAAACAACCCTTATGTGTCTTTTGAGATCTTTTGTGCCCCAAGGGTACAGAAGGTTTCTTTCCTTTTGCCATAACCACAGGTAAATATTCCAAGGGCCATTATCTGAGATAGAAGAACAACAGGCACCATGGGACCTCTCAGCTAACTCACAGGCTCGCAGCAGCTCCATAGTCAGCAAGCCTGGAGTTCGTGGCCTCTGAGTTCCATACACCCACTGCCTGTTTTGTAGGCCATGCTTAGTGTCCTGTATGCTGTTCCCAGCAGCCAGCCGAGCAAAGACCAGCATCCAGCCTGCTAGATTCTGAAGAGTGCCAGCTTTAGTTATGTGATCTCACTTTGCAGGTTGCTCTGGTCCCTTTATTTTCCTGGGTTTTTTGTTCCCTGTTTTTGTTGTGTTTGGAGAGCTGGTTCTTGAATGTTCTTTGGAACCAGAATGCCTTTGCTATTCTTAGCCCTGTTCAGTGTTCCTATTCCTGACCTGGTCAAGTGTGACTCAGCTGCTGAACGTTTCCAGACTCCATAGGTATGAAGGTTAGCCAATGTGTCTCTGTCATCAATGTTTTAAAAAGCTGTTTCATCTTTCCCAAAACACTGAGTCTTAACTAAGATCGTTGGAAGTGCCGACAGCTTCTTTTAAAGCCACTCAAGTCTTTACCAGGCTTAGCTGCTCCTTGGTCATGGAAAGGGAGACAGGCTTCACCAGGCTTCACAAACTTATCCTCTTTGGCTGAGAATATGGAGGGAATATCTCTCTTCTGGGCTCACTAGGGAGAGAAAACAAAAACCTGGAGATGTCAATGACTGGTTTTGCCTCCACAAGGAATGAGCTTTACTAAGGCAGAAGCACGTCTTCAGGAAAGCTGGACTAAGATGGAAAGTTGCCTGGGCTCACACTGGTCAGCAATGCTGTGTCTGACCAGTTCTGTCTGAGCTCTTCAGACAGCCTGAAACCCCACTTTGAGTCCCATCCATGTACCAATGGGTACCTCACCACTGAATGCCCTACGTAAACAAGAACTTTACCCAGGGATATTTCCCAGCACAGGGAGAGATGTTGTGGAGGCCCAGCAGCCAAAATGATCCAAGAGCCCAGAACTGGACTTTCATTTCTTTGTTATTTGTGGGTTATTTTGGTTGTTTGTTTGCTTCTATTTTTACCATGCTGGGGATCGAATCAACCCTTTACAAGTTCTGTCTTCGAGTCAGGTTGACTTATCCCCCAATGTATGATTTTTATGTAATAATGAATGTGACTGTTTATCAGAAAACATTAATTATTCCCCAAAGTTTCAATTGCTGTTGTCAGGTCAATGACCAACGGTTCAATCTCAAAGAAAACTGTAGGCAGATTGAACCGTTGGTCATTGACCTACCAACAGGTTTGCTGTTGGTTTATCTACTAACTCTGTCTTACTGTGAGGGTTCTTTCTCTTTGGCTTGTGTAATTTTTTTTTATGTGGTGTATGTGCGTGTGTGTGTGTGTGTGTGTGTGTGTGTGTGTGTTAAACGTGTACACTTTTGTGTGGCTGGGCATCTATATGTATAATCCTGGTGACCATAGGAGGACATCAGATGTCCTGCTTTATCACTTCCCCCCAAGGAAACAAGGTCTCTCTCTCCCTGAGCCTGGAGTCAGGAAGCTCAGTTATCCTCTTGTCTCCATCTTACCCACATACTAGGGTTGCAGACATACATGGGGATCATAGCCAGCTTTTTATGTGAATACTGGGATTGGAACTCAAGTCCTTATTCCTTCCACAGCAAGCACTCTCAACCACTGAAACTCCCAGTCTCCCCGAGTTTCAGTATCTTAGGTGAAACGGTATTGCATGCACAAAAGACTGGAGAGCAGTGTTGGTAATTTTTGTAATTATTTTAATAACCAGGTTTACATTAACAGTCACTTGATGAGCTTTTGTCTCTTTAATCTCAGCTAACTCAATACACAGTTTTTCTTCACGGTTCAAACCAAACAGCTCTTCAGTTTCGGAGCTGCCTCACAGCTAGCACAGGTCACAGGGAGACGCACTGTCGGTCCATAGCCACCAGACACAGAACTGAACACCCACACACCATGTCTCAAAGGGGAATTACGAGGAACGCTGGCTGCCTCGGCCAGCCCGTGACTGCATCGGGGCACAAGCTGGGGCTGTCTAGGGGAGAAGACCTGGGGGCTTGGGGCAGGAATCAATATTGAGAAGCACTTGCCTCTTGGTAGGGACTTGGTAGGATGAGCAGAAGGGAGTCCAGAGTTAGGACTCAGGTCTTGGGAGATGAGATAAGATTTCAGAGTATCGTCATGAAGAAATGACCCAAAGAACCACTGGGCTTTGAAGTGGGGGAAAGAGTATTTTGGAGGACCACTATAATTCTATTATTTTCAAAAACTTAGAAGTAAAAGAAATATCTCCACTGTGGGAGCTGATTTAACCGCTCCAGAAAGCTGGTCTCAACCACTCTCTGTGGCCCTTCAGAATGAATGTCAGCAGGTTGTCATTGGGGCTGAGAAATAACGTGAGGTTTGGAGATTACATGGTTTTCTTCGAGGGGGGCTGAGTGGAAAGCCCGAATGACAAAAGCTGCTTGAGAGAAGTTAGTACCCAACATGTCCTCCCACCCTCAGATAGAATGCCAGTGAGCTTAAAGGAAGCTCTCATGCCTTGTTGTTTTCCTTCTGGAACCCCTGTGACTGGTGCTGTCTGATGTATCTAGCAGCAGAACAAATTTAAATATAAAAATTTAACTCAAGGAACAAGCTGCTTAGAAAAATTATCATATTAAGAAAATAGTGGAGGAGGTGTTAAGGGATTCTCGGCTATTTCTATGCTTGGGTGTTACTAATAGTGAATGAAGAAAGGGAGGTATCCCAAG